ACTGTATTTTTCCTCTTCTGCTGTCGAGGTAATGCAAGGAATGTTGTGAGTGGTTGTCAGGGCAGCCCAATCAGAATTTAGCAGCCTCGTCTCTGATTGGCTGGAATTATGGCATATTGTAACCCTGGGTTGTGTTGAGCACGCGAGCCTTTGGCATTTAGCGAGCACTGAGGGCGTGCATCAGGTGAGCAAGCTAGTGAAACGTTGCACGCGCAAAAGAGAAGGTCTGCACACATCCAAAAACTTATTTTAAATGCAAAATTGATTTTCGTGCGCTCAAAATACTTTCTTCTTTGCGAGACAAACATTTTCTCCACAAAACGCACTTAAAATAAAACGCACTTAAAAAGTGTGAGAATTAACTTGCGCTAGTCTACGGATGCACATACTAACTAGGCACTTCAGATCAAAGCCTCAGCGGTCTAACAGCGCTCGTCAATGTCAAAATGACTGAGATGGCCAATCAAATCAAAGTAGGCGGGGTTTACTGTTCAAAGAAGCAGAGCTCGAAGCGTCGTCAGGTTAACGTTAAAGAGCGAGGTAAGATGAAGCTGCAAACCATTTAATTTTAGTCAACTTTTAACGATACGTTTTACGATAGAAATGTTAAATGACCGACAACTATACCCCGTGGTGCAAACTACTCGAATTTTTTCTCAAATATGGCGATTTTGAGAGTGAGAGATACGTGTGTAAATTGTCTGCTACTGTGTCTGTCTACAAACAATGAAGCTGCGTTCAGTTACTTAAAAAACAGCGATTTTACCCCCCTCGTTGCTGAGAAATATAATGTAGCGATTCAGAATCGATTAATAAAAGTCGCGTGGCAGCGCTGACAACAAGTTTATGAGCTTCTGAATGTTACTTTTTTGCACAGCGCGATCTGAGATCTCTGTGCGAGTGGTGTGTGTGTGTGTGCGCGCGCGCGCTTCAATTAAAGCAGCGTATAACATAGAATGGTGATTAAACTGAACGGTTTTAATGCATTGGCCTTGACACACACACATACACATACAGTGGTGGTCAGTATGGTCACACTGTATATCTGTTATTCAAGAAACTTTTGAAAAGTTTAAAAAACAATTTATGGAAAAATCTTCAGAAACTATTTGCATGAAAATCAAATAGGCCTATTCATAGGCGGAGGGTGAACCAACTCCAGGGTAAGGCTAAAAGCAGCCAAATGTATTAAACATCATAAACCCGTCTTTTTAGGCAAGAACCAGACATGGGTGTCATGTAGGCTAAAAAAATGTTTAATGGGACTGAATTTGTATTTAACGTGATTACAATTTAATAAAAACGTTAGAAATTGATAATTATATAACGTTTCCTTTCCACGGTTATTCAAACAGCGAATAAATTATATATAGAAAGTGACATTATCACTAACATGGATTTATCGCGAGTTTAAGCACTCTCAAAAAAAACTATCGTTATAATCACTGAAGCTGTATACACTGTGAAATTAATCTCTTACTTATATTGTAGGTACATCTGCGCTTTGTTGTTTATGATGAGAGAATTCACAAGAGTCCGGAATTCAGTTAGCAAAGGCGCGCGCACTCAACAAAACTGATGAGTTTGAACGATGACTCATCTGAACTCCTCTGATTGGCCATTGCATTCCTAAGCTCAACAGAATTGTGTGTGATTGGTTAAAGTGCGCAACACTGTAAAAACGTCTAAAATGAAATACGGTGTAACATGAGTAGATCTTAATTTAATGCCGCAATCGACACCTCTATTCATATTCACTTTTTTTAGCAACAGACGTAATAGATTTAATTTGTTTGTGCAGGGGCATTTTTGCCCCAAGTCCCGGTGGCCAGGGGAACACGCTCCGCCTATGGGCCTATTGTTTTTTTTTATCGTATCATTTAAAAATGTTTATGTACTGTATAAATACAGAATGCATTTCTGTATTTATGCACAGTGGTTAACCAGAAAAATAAAAAAATGGCACGGCATGCCGAAAAGGTTGCCGACCCCTGATCTACATAAAAGGTGCCCTAATGTTATAATATAATGGTATACCTTGTTACAATGGTTGTACCTTAGTATTTTAGTGAATAATCAAAGAAAAGAGACAAAATTATTTTATTCCAAACTTTATTTCCAACTGTTAGTCTGGCTACTGATTGACTTTTTAGATGAAACTCCACCACTTCTGTGCCCAAGTCTTATTACTCAGGCCAGATCTACATAGGTTAGATTGGACTGTTTAATTGAACAGACCGCAGGCCAAGAGGTTTCCAGCCCATCCGTTAGATGTCCATGCTTAATCTAAGGCTGCAAAAAAGAAACATGCACTGATATGCCAAGATAAGTTTGCTAATTCTCAGAATTCTTAATGCTCTGGGTCATTATGATGTCAGGCATACAAGATGACTGTGATCGGCTGTTGTTACATGTGCCAACCAATGAAAAAGTCCAGTCAGATGCAGACTAAACCACAGATTATGACGAGTTGCCCGTCACCATATAAACAGTATATGCCGAGACTGAAATATGAAAAAAAAAATACATCTTTAAGCTACGTGAGGTTTATTGTACATTTCACTAAAATAAAATACTGTTATAGACTTGTCAATCCCTGTTATTCTGACCAGTACTGTAAACATTCGGCAGAACATGTTTTATGGGAGTTCGGGTAAAGTTCTGCATTGAAAATGAGTAAGAGTTAACATTATGAATAACACCTGCTTTCATAAAAATGAAGGGTTTTATGGTAGATGATTGCGGCTGTCTTGTGAGTAAAAGCAGTAATGCTAACCGTAATACGAAAATGATCAACCAAACCCTCTAAATCACTTTCAGTTTTGTGTGGTTTTTCATTCTTGCACCAGATTTAACGTATTAAATGACAACCCCCATCAAGCACTGCGCTGTTCTTAAAACAAACCTACATAAAACATTCATAAAGGACGTAGCTGCTCAAATGTTCTCTCAGCAGCCACAATTAGGTGCTAATATGAGCTTGAGCTGCTTCTCTACATCCAACCATTTCAGATTAGTCTGCTGATAATAACATCTCACATTGGACTCGTTATGTCCCCAAATATGTTGTTTTTTTTCTTTTGATTTTGGGGTGAAATGTAACCTAGACATGTTTTTGTGAGACTCACCCATGAACATGAACTCATCCAATTATCCAAACAAGGGACAAGTTAACATATAAACTATCTAAAAGGTATGAGTAGTAGGGTTAGTTATACTGAAAACTACTACTAGAAGTAAAAAAAAAAAAAAACTGGAGCCAGGGCACAAATCTTAAAGTCACAGTCACAGAAAGCAGACAAGTTAACTGTCCATTACACCCACTCGACACAGTGACTAATAATAAGAAAAGACATATTTAAATCAGGGTCAACAACTCTAACAATAACTAAACCCTCCTCAGTCAACACATTTACTAATTTCTGTCTTTGAAAATGAATCTGATAGCAACCATAAAGGTGAAAAAGCCTATGTACACGTTCACTCACTCACTATATGCAACCTCAAAATGTGCATTTGAATATGTTTCCTGGAGTTCATTAATATCCAATAAGCATCAAGAGCCATTTGAGTGTATGTTTGTGTATGAGGTACAGAACCCTCCTTCTTTATGTGCAACAAAGCAGCGGCATCTACATCCGTCTTTTCTGTTCATTTTGCTCGTTTTTTGAAACATAAGAATAAAACATTGTAGGGGAAGAGGTTGAATGTCCAGCGAAGCAATATTTCTCACCCACCGAGCTCAAATGCCATTTAACGGTTCCTGCAAAACACAAAAACATGGCCAGTGCTGCGGCCACTCAACGTCCCAGAGAGCCAAACATCATCCAGACGTTGCCTAAAACACTGTCTAGACGTCCTCTATGCATTTGTATACAATCGTGATCCTTCTCAAGCGTCCTGCGGGGTTGACCTCTTGAGGTCTCGGATCTGTTTGATGAGATAGGTCTTCTCGTCGCTGAACTGCTCGTCCTCGGTGCGGTCGCTCTGGAACTTGCTGAGGAACTCGATGAGTTTGGTCTGGTTCTTCAGCAGGATGTCGAGGATGGGCTGTGTCTTGTTCGGATTGGCCACAAACACCTGAATGCGCAGAGAAAGACCTTATCGCTCAGAATATTGTCGCTCGAGACAAGCTTGAAGGTGGCATACTGGTGAGTGTTGGAGTGGGAAGATTCAGCTGACAACTCATACCTTAAATACATGAAAGGCCTCAAACTGGATGTTGCGGCTCTTGTCTCTCAGTAGGTTCATCATGAGTTTGAGGTTCTCTGGTTTGCTTATGTATTTTGTCATTATAGTGAAGTTGTGCCTGTCCAAAAGCAGCTCTCCCAAAAGCTAAGAGGAAGAGGAAAGGCATAAAACATCATAAAAATAAAGATCTAGTGGCTACAGTAAACATTCACAGGATTGAGTTTAAATGCATTATAGAGCTGTACCATACCACAGCAACTATACACACAAACAGATAGACACTACCATTTAAAGTTAGGGGTAAATTAGACTTTTGAAATAAGAAATTCCCATTTTTATTCATCAAAAGACATTTATAGTGTTACAAAAGAGTTCTATTTCCAAAAAATGCTGTTCAAACTTTCTATTCATCAAAGAATCCTGGGGAAAAAAATCAACATGAGTAAAAACAGCACAACTATTTTCAACAGTGATAAGAATGAGCAATAAACTAGCATTTAAAATAGAATGATTTCTGAAGGATCATGTGACACTGAAGCCTGGAGTAATGATGCTGAAAATTCAGCTTTGTATCACAGGAATAAATTACATTTGAATATATATGAAAATAGGAAATGGTTATTTTAAATTGCAATAATATTTCACAATATTTACTGTTTTTACTGTATTTTTGATCAAATAATTGCAGCCTTGGTGAGCAGAAGAGACTTCTTTCAAAAATACCAACAAATCTTAGTGGTCCCAAACTGTCGAACTGTACTTTAAGTAAGCACAACCAACCACAACACACAACATACAAATTAACCCGTTTCTTACCTTTAGCGACTGCCTTTTAGTCACATAGTTTTCTGAGTGAAGAAGTTTCTCATATTCACTAAAGAACTGCAGACCAAAAGTGGAAAAAAGAGGGGAAAGAGATACACAGAAAATATTAAATTGATTGGCTTTTTCTCATACAGTAGCCTGCATAAGTATTTGCATACTTATGGCACACTTGCATTAGATGAAATATCGAACTAAGTGGCATTTGTTTAAAGAAAGATAGCACTTTCCAAGCAAAAACCTTTGCAATAACTAGTCTGTTTGCTTTTAAATGTCAAGAATAATATATATACTGTTCAAAAGTATGACACAAGTACACGTGGTTGCCAAATGTTACTGAAAGCCATCCACAGTTAATCTGAAGAACATGAGGGGAACTGACTTCATACATCCACTAAAATCAATTTTACAGCAGTTAATTAAATGTCACTGTGCTAAAATGCTGACGTAAAGTTAGTTCTGAGAAAAGCTCTAGCAGTATTTCTTGGTATTTTTTAATCTAATTCATTAAGACATTTTTAAAGTCAGACATAAGTGCCCATATACTCTTTGGACCCCCTCAAAATTCAAATCACTTCCAAATGTGTTGACTTTCACATTAAATGCAAACAAACAGTTCTGAGAAGAACCCGCTGCAGAATGACTGACAGATCCAATCAGATCCAAAAACCAACAGACAATGACGGAAACCAAACCAATGACTCACTCTGTCATAGTGCTGCTCCAGGAACTCAGCGCTGAGCAGTTTGTGTCTCGTCAGCAAATCCTGGAAGAAAACCAAACCAATGGAATTCATCAGACATCATAATACAGTTCATCTGAATATGAAATAATCAAAGATGCCAGCCAGACAAAACAAACACCCAAGGCTTGTACATTTACAAAAACACTAACTTTAAAGGTGGCAAATGCATCCGAGGCGATGTCGAAGGTGGACATCTCCACGTATCTGAAGAAATCGTAGAACTGCTCAGAGCAGAGGGTGATCTTGGCCAGTGGCTCGTGCCGTATGCATTCCCTCAGCATGATCCCGCAGTTCAGAGCGATGTCTGGAGACTCGTAACTACAAAAAGGACAGGAACTCAACAGCAGAAAGATTTTGCCAACATACCCACATTCTCATGTTGATCCAAACATGTTTGACTTTCTTTCATAGACCCAAAAGGAGACGCTAATGTTCATGCTGCCTGGTTCCTTTCCATACAATGAAACTAAATGGTGACTAGAGGTTGTCGAGCTCCAAAAAAAAAAATAACAAAAAGCAACACAAAAGTAATCCATAAAACTCATTTTAAGCTCTCTGAAGTCATATGGCCTACTTTTAGGGTGCTTTACGGAGTTTGACCCTTGGTCGCCATTCACTTCCATTGTACGGAAAAGCATCAGTGTGTCTAAACATCTGCTCTTGTGTTCTACAGAAAGTCTGAAACAACATTAAGGTGAGTATATAATTACAAAATTAACAATTTGGCAGTGAACTACCAAAAAAATTCACATTTTAGATGATATTGCTGATATACGCACAGCTAACGTTGACTCAAGTTATGTTAAAGAGTAAATACTAATCTGGGATCAGATAGCACCTCTAAAAACTCATATTAGTCACCAAACCAGTTTCCTGGTTGAGATTTGATCTAAACACCAGCCTCTAAATCTTAAAAGTCAGATCGAAGTAATCTGACAACTGCAGAATTTCATGTTATATATTAAATTAGTGAATAAAAATCAAATAAATGTCTCCAGAATATCTTTGTGCGCATGTCTCACCCTTTAAGCAGCATAACGAGTATATTTTGTTGAGTGCACAGGTATTCAACCGTAGGTGTCCGAGTGCCGATCTGACGTCTCAGAATATTATTAAAGATCTGTGCCACATCTTTCTTGCCCTAAACACAAATAACATGCAGAATAGTTACTGAAAAGCTCAAAAATACAAGCATGCGTTTCTACAAATGGGAGTCTGAGAGATAAAATGAACATGTCAAACAGTTGGTATTATAACTATATCTCGGCTGATCTGATCACAAGTGGCCAGTCAAGACAGAATGCCATTGACATCTGGTTAATGCACACAGTATTAACGTCTCTCAGTTGCATAAGTAGCCACTTTTGATTAGATGGCATTGAGGGGAGCATCTCTTATGAGGATACATCAGGGAAGATGTTACATCTTGTGCATGAGGTTTTTCATTTTGCTTTCAATTGAATGGTTGTTTCTTGCCTATTAAACAAAGTTGAAGTTGAAATAATTATGTTATGAGGCTAGACCACTGATTCTCAACCAGAGAGTTGAGAAACATTAGTGGGCTCAAGCACAGTTGGCTTGAAATGATTTAAAATGAGACTAAACGTTCTTTAAAATATATAGTCATGGAAAACTTGTCAAGGGAATTTAAAATTTTATGATATTTAGACCTGGAAAAGTCATGCAAAAATTTTTTTTGTAGTTATGTTAAGCTCTAAAATATTTTATCAGGTAGAAATAGCCATTTAAAAAAAACTGTAATCAAAAATGACTAAAACTAGAACCGTAAATGCGTTTATTGGTAATAAAAAGTGCAAACTCATTTAGTTGTTGAAACTTCTGTAATTACAGAATTTTATTACTGTAATTACTTATATTTTAATAAGTAAATAATATGATTATTACAAATATAATTTATAAGATTTATATAAATGCTTAATTAAACTAATTTAAATTGCCACTCTTAGTTTCTGTTTCTGTCATTACAGCCTCAGAGCAAGAAAGGTTAAGAACTGCAGAACTAGATGCACATTTAATGTTGTCCGGGATTCATGGGGTATTTTGCTCTACAAATGCGTCCCTGATGACCTTCACATCACAGTGTGATTCATTTGTCATGCGTAGGTCGTTTTGACTCATACTTTGCATACAGTGTCTGCATAAAAGTCTATAAAACCACCTCAAAGTCGATGAGCTGCAGATCTGCGACGAGGATGCTGAGCAGGCCGCTGTTGTAGAGCTCCTGAGCGAGCTGAGCCACGGCTTCTGTCTGCGGCTCCTTCTCATTGGTGCCATAGAGAATCTCCTTCATGGCCAGCAGAGATTTGGACACCTCTTCAGAGGCCTGCGGACACACACCCCTCTCATTAATGGCTTTTAATGGGTAATAGTCACAGTACAAGCCCAAACACATTGCATATTTCTTTACACACTGCATATGCCTTTAGTACCTTCTCAGCCTTCTTGTCTGAAATGTCCTGCTTCACCAGAATGGTCATGTTGTCCTTTAGATTCTTCACAATGTCCGCTGGACACTTGTGAGACTTACCGAAAGGGAACGGCATGGCAACACGTCACCAGGGCAACCAGGTAGCAGAGAGCCCACCTGTGAAGGTGAAAGAGAAACAAAAATTAACTGAGGAAGAACAAACAAAAGAATAGAATAACCAAAACAAAATAACAAATAATAGAATGTACAACCAACTTAGAATCAGGAAAAGGAAAACGTAACTCTCAATGTCACAGAAAGCAAGAATGAACTAGGAAAATGAATAAAAGAATGAACAAGCGGAAGAAAAAGTGAAAGAACCAAACCATAAAAAAGAACACACAAACAGAAAAAAATATTTTAAAAAATGACAAAAACAAAGAATGAACATAGGAAGGAATTAATAAATAATCAAAAAACACATGAAACAGTTGATTGAACTAAGGAACAAACAAATGAAAGCACAAATGAAATCATAAACAATAAATGAATGAATAAACAAATGGAAAACATGAACGAATGAAATAAGGAATAAAAGAAGGAACTAAAGAACAAACATGAAAAAATTTAACAAACAATCAGGAAATCAAATGAAAGAATGAACGAACAAATGGAAAAATAAATGAAAGAATGAAATTAGATGAATAAACATGAAAGATTGAACAAAAAAACAGAACAGAAAATCATATGAAAAAAATTATCTAAACTAAAGATCAAAAAATCAAAAATGAATGAATGGACAAATTTACATAACATTTTTATTTATGCAATTGCAGAATCTTTTTTCCAAAGTGACTTAAAGGGGTCATATGATGCAATTTCATTTTTTCCTTTCTCTTTGGAGTGTTACAAGCTCTTGGTGCATAAAGAAGATCTGTAAAGTTGCAAAGACTAAAGTCTCAAATCCAAAGAGATATTCTTTATAAAAGTTAAGAGTCAGCCACACC